TGTGTGTGTGTGTGTGTGTGTGTGTGTGTGTGTGTGCGTGCGTGTGTGTGTGTGTGCGTGTGTGTGTGCGTGTGTGTGTGTGCGTGTGTGTGCGTGTGTGCGTGTGCGTGTGCCCGTGTTCTTCTCGTCTCCTCCCATCAGCACCGATCTCCATGCGTGCGCTGTGCTCATCCCCTGCACCCCCTGCACCCCACCCCCGGCTGCACTGCATGACTTGGATGCAGGAAATGGCACGAGGCCGAGGAGACGTTTCTGCTCGTGCAGTCCGAGGCGTACAAGTCCGACTACACCTACCTCTCCTGGCTTGCCCGCTGCTGTACGTGTACACGCGCCATGTGCACATGAACACACGTGCACACGCATGATGTTCTTGTTTTTGCATCTTTCCATTTTTTTGCGTGCGCGTTCATCACACGCACACACGCACACACACGCACACACAACTTGCCCCTTGTCCTCACCGACACCACCGTTTGTTTCATGTGTGTGCGTGCGTGTGTGTGTGTGCAGACATCATGAACAAGAAGCCGCGACTGGCGTGGGAGCTGTATCTTCGCATGGAAACGTCCGCTGACTCGTATCTCCTCCTCCAGCTCATCGCACACGACTGCTACAGGGTATGTACACAGACACGCGTGCATGTGCACACATGTACGACCATCCCTCCCTGCGTCTCCTTCTCTCGTCCCATTGCACGCATCTCACGTACCCCCACTGATATCTCATCATCATCATCATCGTCATCATCATCATCATCGCTAGATGGGGGCGTTCTACTACAGCGCCAAGGCGTTTGACGTGCTTGAGCGGCTTGACCCGAGCCCCGAGTACTGGGAGGGCAAGCGCGGCGCGTGTGTCGGCGTGTTCCAGCAGATCATTGCTGGGCACGAGCCCAAGGAAGGACTGAGGGAGATTCTTGCCATGTTGCGCAACTCAAACAACCCGCAAGTGGACCAGATTTCCCGCGTCATGCGCAAGTGGGCAAAGGACAAGCGCATCCCCGTCATGTGATGTGGTGTTGTACGCGCGCATGTATCTCTTCTGTGTGTGTGCGTGCGTGTTTGTGCGTGCGTGTGCGTGTTGATCTCCCCCGTCTCCTTGTCTGCCCGCCCCTGCATGTGCCTGTGTGTTTGGGCGCTCGAATATTTGCCTGTCTGTGCGGATTCATTTGCTGTTGCCCTGCTTGTCCCTCTTTGTGTTGTGCGTGCATGCGCATGTTGACATGCTATTGTTTGTTTCACTCTCGTTGTTCAGCACACCCCATCCTTTCTTGACATACGTGGTTCTCGCTTTCTGCTTGTAGTTCAATCCCAGAAAGTACACATGTGCACTCATCCCCTGCTGTGCCAATAACACCTGAACAGCAGGCAACTGGCCTTTGTCTTGCACGTCCACACACGCGCGCGCACACATCCACAAACCCACAAAGCGCAGCTACCATGAAACAAAAAATACGAGCACATGACGGACCAAACACAACGACACTTGAATTGCATGTACAACTCGACACACACACACACGCACACACACACGCACACACACACGCACACACACACGCACACACGAGTGTGCGGCTGTTCATTATCCCGCGTAACCTGCACACAAACACACGCACACGCATGTACGTGCAAGCAAAGACAACGTGATGGTGATGAGATGCATGGGTATTGGTATTGCACAGCACACGCACTACCCACAGCACGCAGCCGGTGCACTCACCAAGGAAATCGCCTGCAAGGCTGCCCGTCGCCGCCTGTAAAGTGAAGACGCATTTCATGACAAGCAAAGCGTTAGCACGTGTCTATACACACACACACACACACACACACACACATACACAACACGCAAGCAGGGTAGCTGTACGTACGATGCTTGATGCCTGCACGCGTACGCCGAGGATGCGAATGCGTATGCTGTCTTCGGGCTGAATCTTCTCAGCCTGGACAGTGGCACAAGGGGTGGGGTGGTGGTGGTGGTGGTGGTGTGAGTAGCGTGTTTCACATGCCAGCATGTGCAATGAATCGATAGAGACAGGGAAGCGCGACGTCAAAGGAAGAATTGAGAGGCGACGCACAAAGTCATCTGTCCTGAAACATGGCGGGTTGGCTGTGTCGTCAAAGACCATGTTGGGGATCCACTGCACGCCATGGGAAAACAAGTGGGTGGGACAAGCGGTGAGCCAGGAAGCGAGCGAGCGACAAGCAGTTAATTGCGTATCACCACACACCACATACACAGACAGGTACACAGGCATGCGGGCAGTGAGACAGACACACGCGCAATCAACACGCAATTCCACGCACCTGGAAGTGAATGAACACGCGCAGAGGCCCCACTTCCGCAAAGATACCCATCTGCAGTCCGCATCATCCAGGGTTGTGACCAGAGGAAGGAAGGTTCAGGTGATGAAGGTGCACATGTACATTCAACTCTCAAGCCCACTCCCTCATTCAGGTTACCAAAGTACGCGCACAGACACTCGCCCACCCACTCACACACACACACACACACACACACACACACTCTCTCTCTCTCTCTCTCTCTCTCTCTCTCACACACACACACACACACACACACACACACACACACACACACACACACACACACACACACACACACACACACACACACGCACACACACACACACGCACGCACTCACCCTCATTCACTCACAAACGCACATTTACTGTTGCTGACCTTTGTAACAGTGCTGACGATGGCATCAACGACCTCGTTTTTCACGGGCCTGAACACCAGGGCTCTGTATGTGACCGGAAACAATGTCTCGCCACGCGCAACCAGGATTTCGCCCTCGCCAATCTTGACAATCTCAATCACCGACACAATGTATCCGTGCCTGAAGCAAGTACAAGGGTCAGAGTTAGTCCGCCATGTTTGATGTTGGCGCAAGGCGTGTTCAGCTTGCACTGCCTAAGTTGGGTGCCCGTGCCACACACAAAATGCCACCTGTTGTGTGGCTTGTGTTGTTTGATTGGGCAGGATGGCGCATGCAAGTCAGATTGGGTACACTGCCACACGTACTTTCCGATGCACTTTGATTCCACATCCTCGTACAGCTTTCGTCGAATGGACTCTGCGAGCTGTGGTCCAAGGAATCGTGGCGGCAGAAGCACATCGTGCTCTAGCGTCAACTGCAAGCAGCCAGTCGCGCACACATTCACAAAACACAGAACTTGTCAGGGTGATGGACACTGCAACTGCTTTCCTCTGCTTTCCTCTGCATCATTTAATCCCCTCCACACACACGCACACACACACGCGCAAACACACACACACGCACACACGCGCGCGCGCGCACATACGCACGTACATACATACGTACATACAGATGCGCACACATCTCAACATACTTTGAAGAACATGGCTGTGTGGTACTCGTCCCCTCTCACGCACACACACACACACACACAACAATCCGCCTGTCAGTGAGTGGCTGTTGGTGCGCTGTCGTCGTTGTGTGCGTGATGATTTTTGTTGTTATTGCTGGGAATGATTCGATGTGATTTTAATGCTCGTCCAGCCAATATCAGCAGGAGCACAAACACATCGTCCTTCTCCACCCCACTGCCTCTTGAGCCATGGCGCTGCACGCATTTGAGCTGCTGCAGCTGCTTCCGGCTGTGGCCAACAACAAGGCCTCTGTTGTTGCCAGTGCCCTTGATATGTGGGAAGATTCACTGTGGATTGGCACAAATGAAGGGTCAGTCAATCAGTGTGGGCTTGTGTGTGTGTGTGTGTGTGTGTGTGTGTGTGTGTGTGTGTGTGTGTGTGTGTGTGTGTTGTGTGTTCATTCGCTACGATTTTGCCTGTTAAATGTTCCTCAATCTTTCAGCTGTATGTGCTGCTCCGGGCTGGTACGTTGCACTTGGCCCGATTTAACTGTGCCCCGAACGCCACAGTCTATTATTATATGTGTATATTAAGCGGGGAGATGTGGGCTGGGACATGATCTTCCATTTGTCGGTCCGAGCGATGGACAAACTTGCTGAGAATGGTTTCTGGCGCTACAACACCTAGTGGCGGCACATACTGTACAACGAGTCTAATGTCCCTTGTAGTCTGTGGAGGGATAAATAATTAAACATTTA